TAGAACTACCCCACAATATATTATCATTGAAACAACAAGTACAGAGACTAGAGAAAGAATATCGCAGGCTGTAAGAGAGAAAAAACAAATAACATACAAAGGCAAACCCATCAAAATCACAGCAGACTTCTCAACAGAAACATTAAAAACAAGAAGAGCATGGAGTGAGGTCTTCCAAGCACTGAATGAAAATAACTTCAACCCTAGGATACTCTATCCAGCAAAACTATCATTCAAAATAGACAGAACAATGAAAGTCTTCCATGATAAGTAGAAACTAAAACAATATATGACCACCAAGCCACCACTACAAAAGATTCTCCAAGGAATTCTGCACATAGAAAATGAAAGCAAACAAAACCATGAAAGGGCAGGCAACACCAAACCACAGGAGAAGAAAAGGCAAGAAAGACAAGAGTAACACTGATTCAGCTACACACAATCAAACCCTTAATCAACAAAGACAACTACATGACAGGGATCACCATGTACTTATCAACACTTATACTGAATGTTAATGGACTAAATTCCCCCATCAAAAGGCATCAATTGGGAAACTGGATTAAAAAGGAAGATCCAACAATCTGCTTCCTAGAGGAGACCCACCTTATCGATAGAAATAAGCACTGGCTGAGAGTGAAAGGCTGGAAGAAGATTTATCAAGCCAATGGTCCCTGAAAACAGGCAGGGGTAGCAATATTTATCTCGGACAAAGATTTTTTTTTGTAGAGATTTTGTTCTTAGTGTGTGGTTTGTCTTTTTTTTTTTTTTAGTACAGGGGATTGAACCCAGGGCCTCCCACATCATAGACAAGTGCTCTACCACTTGAACTACATCCACAGCCCTCCCATCCCTTTTAAAATTTTGCTTTTGAGATAGGGTCTTGCTAATTATGCCTGTGCTGGCCTCAAACTGGCACTTGTTCCACCTCTGCCTTCCAAGTAGCTGGGATTATAGACATGTACCACCACTACTGACTTTATTTTCTTAACAGAATCTTTCATAGAAAGAAGCTTTTAATTTAATAAGGTCCAACTTATCAATTTTTTCTTCCATAGTTTTTAGTTTGATATTGTATCTAAAATGTTATCACCAAGCCCAAGGTCACCTAGTTTTTCTCTTATGTTTTACAGTTTTACATTTTACATTTAGGTGTGTGACTCACTTTGAATTTTGTTTTGTGAAGGGTCTAAATCTGCATATAGATTGCTTTTTGGATTTCACATCAATCATTCCAGCTCTATTTGTTGAAAAGATAATAATATCTTCACTGAATTGCCTTTGTTCCTTTTTCAAAGATCAGTTGACTATATATGTGTGGGTTCTATTTCTGGGCTCTTTTTTCTGTTCCATTGATCTATTTGTCTATTCTTTCACCAATACTACATTGTCTTTATTCTTATAGCTTTAGATACTAAGTCTTGAAGTCAGACACTGCTGGTTCTCTGACATTCTCCTTCAATATTACATTGACTTTTTGTGGTCCTTTGCATTTCTATGTAATATCAAATCTTCCTATCATGCCTGTGTAATATCTCTCCATTTGTTTAGGTCTTTGAACTCCCTCAACAGGGTTTTATGGTTTTACTGATATAGACCTTGTACATCTTTTGTTAGATTTTTACCTAGTTCATTTTATTGGTGCTGATGTAAATGGTATTGTGTTTTTAACTTCAAATTTCAAGTGTTGGGCTAGTGAAGTATCTCAAGTGGTAGAGTACCTGTCTAGCAAGTATGAGGCCCTGAGTTCAAAGCCCAGTACCACTAAAAACAAAAAAGCAATTCAAATTCCAATTATTCATTACTTGTATATAACAAAGCAATTGACATTTGTATGCTAAACTTCTTATGATCAGTGAATTCTAGAAATGTTAGTTGATTCCTTAAGATTTTCTATATAGACAATCATATTATCTGAGAACAAAGTTAACTTTATTTCTTCCTTCACAGTCCATATACCTTTCACTTCTTTTGGTCTTATTGCTTTAGCTCAGACTTCCAGTATGATTTGAATAGGAATTTGCACCATTAAATATGATGTCAGCTGCAGATACCTGTAGAATTACCAACTTGAATTTCTCCATTCTTCATTTTCTGAGAGGTATTTGTTTTATCATAAAGAGGATGTGGATATTGTCAAATGTGTTCCTGCATCTACTGATACATGTTTTTTTCTTATTTAGACTGATGGTGTTTACCTTTGATGTAATATATTACATTGAGTTTTGAATGTTGAATCAGTTGTTCAAATTTGAAATAAATCACACTTAGTCATGATATCTAATTTTTTTCTACATTGTCAGATTCAATCTGTTAATATTTTGTTGAAGATTTTTGCATCTCTTCTCACGAGAGATAGTCATCAGCAGTTTGTTTTTCTTGTGATGTTTTTGTTCAGTTTTGGTGTTAGGGTAATGCCTTAGAGAATGAGTTAGGAAGTATTTCTTCTGCTTCTATTTTCTAAAAGAGATTGTGGAGAATTGGTTTTATTTCTTCAGAGAACCCACTTGTACCTGGTACTTTCTCTTTGGGAAGGTTATTAATTATTGATTCAATTTCTTTGACATAGGCCCTTTCAGAATATCTTCTATTGACTTTCTAGGAATTGGTCCATTTATCTAGATTATCAAATTTGTGGGCATAGAGTTGTTCATAGTATTCCTTTATTGACAATTTTTTGTTCAAAAGGGGCTGGGCATACCTGTAATTCCAGCACTTGGGAGGCTCCAGGGGGAACATGAGTTTGAGGCCAGCATGGGCTACAAACAAACAAAACAAAATCTATGGGGTCAGTTGTGAAGAACACTTTTTCATTTAGGATTATGGTATTTTCTTTTCCTTCCTTCCCTCCTCCATGTGAGCTTGAATAGAGTAGGCGTTCTTCTGGTGTTGGATGAAGCATCCTATAGATGTTAATTGTATCCAGGTGATTAATGGTGCCATTCAGGTTGATTGTATCCTTACTAATTTGATCTCCTTCTCATAGATCCATTTGTCTGAAGAACTTCTTTAACATTTCTTGCAAAGGAAGTCTACTGGCAAGATATTTCGTCAATTTTCATTTGTTGAGAAAGTATTTCTCCTTTAGGTTTGAAGGATAATCCAATGTATACAGAATTCTAAGTTGGCAGGTTTTTTTTTCTTTCAACACTTCAAGTATTCTACTTTACTCTTGACTGCATGTTTTTTGAAGAAAAGTCCAGTGTAATTCTATGAGGAAGTTACTGTTCCCCTGTTGGCTTCTTTTAAGATTTTCTCTTTCTTTTTGATGTTCTGCAGTTTGAATATGATATGAGTATGAACATGGTTTTTGTCTTTATCTGCTAGGTGTTCTCTGAGCTTCCTGGGTCTGAGGGTTAGCATTAATGCCATTATTTTTGGAAAATTATCAACCTTTACTACTTCAAACATTTCTGCTGTTTTTTCCTCCATCTGGTATTCTCATTATGTATGTGTACATATTATGTTATATTTTTTGTAATTGATCTGTTGTTGTTAGTTATTCTGTTCTCTTTTTTTCTCTTTGCATTTCAGTTTTGGAAGTTGCTATAACATATTTTTCTATGTTCATTGATTTCTTCCTTAGTGATATCCAGTCTACTGATGAGCACATCAAAACCATTCATTTTTCTTACAGTGTTTTTACTTCTTCCATTTCATTTGATTCTTTCTATTTGAACATCTCTGCTTACATTATCTATGTTCTTATGTGTGGTTTACTTTTTGCATAAGAGTCTGTTGCATATTACTATAGTTGTTTTCAACTCTTGATCTAATTATACCAGTATCTGTACTATATATGAGTTTTATTCCCATTCTTTCACTTTTGGTGTAATGAGGTTTAAACTCAGGACCTCACTTGAGGTACACCCCAGACCTTTATTTGCTTTAGTTAGGGTCTTGCATTTTTGCCTGGGCCAGCCTGGACTATGATCTTCCTATTTATGCCTCCCAAGTTGTTGTGATGACACACTACCATGCTCATCTTATAAGCTGAGGGGGTCTTGCTTTAACTTTTTATCCCAGGCTGGCCTCCAAACACAATCCTCCCCATCTCCACCTTCCAAATAACTGAGATTATAGGTGTGAGCCACTGTACCTGGCCTGTTTTGATTCTTTTTGTGTCTCTTCAAACATGCTTGGTCTATATTTTTATATGCTTTGAAATTTTTTGTTAAAAGCTGGATATGATGTGGTGGGAAAAGGAACCCACTAGGCTTTATTGTGAGGCTTTATGCTATTTGGCTAGGAGTTAGGTTGTGTTTCCTGTTTCTGCACCTATACCAGAAGCTATAATTTCCTCTGGTATTCTTTTTTTTTTTTTTTTGCCTCCTTTGTTGTCTTTGGGTTTCTTGAGAGACTCCTTAAATGAGGTCTGACATGTGCAGATCGTTATAAACCCCCTGGCACAGGCTCCAGCAGTGGTTTCTGCTTCTTGGCCTCTGTTTTAGAAAGTTGTGAACTTTTATATTTGCCTATCTCCAATTTATAAAAACTGAAGTATGTTTGTTGAGATTGATATATTTAGCACATGGTTTCTAAATGTAGAGGATGGGTTTTCCTAACTGGACTGAGTCCATGCTCTGTGCATGGCCAAGTATTCTATTTTTTTCTTTGGGTGGTGCTGCTGCTTTATTCTGATAGAAGTAAACAGTGATAGTTTACTGAATGACTCTAGCAATGAATGTGTTTAAAGGTCTGATTGCAGAGCTCGGGTGGTGAATATAAAAGGGATGGCTTCTAAGATCTCAATTACTTTGGCTATTTTTAAGAGATAATAGTATGAAGTCTCAGTAAGATGGCATAATTCTAACTAGAGAGGTCATTTGGTGATGGAAGTGTTTGGCATCTCTACCATAACCTTCAAAGATGCCTTCTGCCTCTTATTTGTATTGGTTTGCACATGAATTTGAAAGTCATCCAATTACATATGGATAGAAATTTCAATCTCAAAACATCATACTTTTAATCCTACTATTTCACAACAGAATATTCCTTACCATGAAGTATTTGGTTCCAGGAGCGACAAAGTCAATTGCCTGAAATTTCCCATCACAAGCATCTAGGACTTTATCTAAGGCTGGCTCCTTGCCAAAAGTGTAGAGATAAAGAGATCCCTGAAAAACACACATGGAGAGAGAAAAGAAAAAAACATATTACAATCATTGCATATGTAGTTTACAAAAATTTATTAAATGCCTATTGTGAGTAAGGTACTGCATGGGAACAGGTGATGAGAAACTATGGAACTCAGTGAGGCCTGACTTTGAGGAACTTAAAATCTAGATGCTTGATTTGTTCATTTATGGTTTAGTTGATTGAGTTATTCACTCATCACTGAAAATAATGGATAGGATTACTTTGATTGTAGGCTTTTTTTTTAAATTACAAAACATAACTAAACACTTTTTCCTGATTTTAAAAATAATTTCTATTTGCATAGAAAATGTGGAAAATGTGGAAAACCAGAATGGTTGTTAAGACAAACTAAATCTCACCACATGTTAAACACAAAGTGGGCGACATTAATTAAAAAACAAAGTTTTGTGGAAATCATGGTTATGTGGCTGAGGCTGTCACTCTATGACTTATCATTGCCAGTTCCAAAATTCACTTCTTAAAAAAAAAAAAACTATCCTTAAAGGTATGTGTCTCTGACAAGTAGCAGTAATATAATGTACTCTCTTGATCTCAAGGTGCTTAAATTCTACTGGGAGATTCAGACAGTAAATTATATATCCAAATATATATTGCATGCCAAATCATGATAACTGTAAGCAGAAAAAAATAATAAAGCAGAGAAGGATACTACATAGGCAAAATAAGAGGGTAAAAACATTAAACTGAGCATCCAAGAAAAGCTTCAGTGACCAGGTAACTTTAGAGAAAAGATTTGGAGGAAAGGGGGAAAGGGCCCACAAGGATCTTTTGGGAAAGCATTCCAGAGGAGGGGCCTTTTAAAACACACTAGGATTTTGGCTTTTATTCTAGATAAGAAGCCACTAGAGGGCTCTGAAAAGTAGTGAGAAATGCTTTGCTCACTCTGGCTGCTGTGTTGAAAATAGCTTATTTATTCATACACTGAGAGAATACATTAAAATGTCCAATTAATATTATGGCTTTGTTTTTTCTTATCTATCATGTTTTGTTTTATGTATTTGAGGCTATGTTGTTAGGTACATATGAGTTTTCCTTGTTTATACATTCCTGGTGAATCTGACTTTTTTTTACTTCAAAATAAGGCCATTTATCTGTAGAAATGATTTGTTTTTCAACTTTAAGAACTATCATGTTTACTATTAATATATCTACTGGATTCTCTTTGGTTAATGTTTGCATGAAACATCTTTTTCCATCTTTTTTTTTTTTTTTGGTCTTATTGTACCTCTATGTTTTACATATGTGACTGATAGCACATAGTTGGATTTTTTAATCCAGCATAATGATCTTTGCTTGTTAATTCAACCATTCATATGGTTTTATACTTGTAATTATTAATATACTTGAGTCTAAATGCAGCATGTTAACTTGAGCTTTCTAGCTATCTCATTTGTTTTGCATTTCTTCTTAAGCCTTTTTTTTTTAACGTGTAACTTTTCTCTTTTATAACTTGGAAATTTTGTCCACTGTTTCCATTCTTTTAGTGGATGCCTTAGAAGTTACTGCATGCATACTTAACTTATCAACATCAAATTTACTCTAAGTCAACTTTACTGTCCTCCTGGGTAATATAAGACCCTTGGAACACTTTGTTTCATTTACTCTTTCCTCCCTCAACTTATATTCTTGTCTGCTTTTTGGTTTTTCAGTGCTGAGGATTGAATAGAAGCCAGGTCTTCACACACGCTAAGCAAGTGCTGTGCCACAGAGCCACATCCCCAGCCCTATTGTCTGGGATTTTACTTAATGCCATTGTTAAACCTAACTGTTCTTTGTGGTTTTGTACATTTCACTACATATCCTTAGTGCTCCTGTGCTTCTTGCACCACAGACCTTCCAGCTGGATCATTTTCTTTCTGCATAAAGCTTATTCTTTAGAATTTTTCTCTGCTTCTGATAAACTCTCATTTTTAGGATTACCTAGAAAAATCTCTTTTCACCCTCATACTGAAGAACTATTTTCATTGGGAATAGAATTCCAGTTGGTAGTTATTTTCTTGCAGTGCATTATGGGTCAGCATACTTTCCGTAAATGGACAGACAGTAAATATGTGAAGCTTTGCAGGCCATGAGGTCTCTGTCACAGTACTTAATGCTGCCATTATAGTGTGACAGCAGCTATGGACAATACTTAAGTCATGGGTTTGGCTGTGCTCCAATAAAATCTTAATTACAAAAACAAGTAGAAAACTGGCTTTGGCACATGACGCCAAGGTTTGCTGCCTTTGTGCTATACTTATGATATCATTCCACTATCTCTTACTTATGTTATTACCACAGAAAAAGCCAACTGTTGGTCTAATTGAAATTCCTTTGACATAATTTGTCTTTGTTTTTCAACAATTTCAACTTGGGAAATCTAAGTATAGCATATTATGAATCCTCTTGGATTCACTGGACCTCTTAAACCTATAAATTCATCTTTTTAATCTGTTCTGGAATATTCTAAGCCAATGTCTATTGACGTATTGCCTCTGCCTCATTCTTTCTCCTCTCTGGAACTCCAATAAAATGTATGTTAGATCTTTTCACTGTGTCATTCATTCTCTTACCCTCCCTACTCTATTTCCTTCCCTTTTTCTTCTCTGGGCTATATCTTAGTAGTCTCTTCTGGTCTATCTCCAGTTTATTAATTCTGTCTTTGGCTACATCCAATCTTCTGCCAGATATGTTCATTTAAAGTTTATCATTTATTTATTTAAAACATGGTAGAGTTATTTTGATTCTGGTAAGTACCAGAAACTAAAATATTTCCGTATTTAAATGTAAGTTTATTAAACTTCATTTGTAATTCATCCAAAATTGTTGCCTAGCAATATAAATCGTTGTTAACCTTGACCTTTGAGGGTCATTCTATTAAAAAGGAGGTTTCCTAAGAGTATAACTCAGATAGTCATTTGTTTTCAGCCTGTATTGATTCCCCTATCTTCTTCTAGAACCCATATTTTCCTAAGAGGACACCCATAATACCCTCAATTTCAGACCTAATTTTTGTGGGTTGACTTTTACCAGGGCCTAAGGGTAGGCATGTGACTTAGGTCTGGCTAAACAGACCACATAGTGCTCCTCTTGACGACAATGATTGATCCAGCAGTAGACAGGTGACCAGGTTAGTCCAATGAGTCTATATTCTAAAACATTTTTTCAACTGATAACTTTCTAGCAAAGTCACAGAGAGGGCAAAAATATAAGTTGGAGCTGCAACTTATATATCACAAAGGGAGAGTCTGCATGGAGGTGGAAGTAGCAGAAAGGAAACCAAGTTAAGAGATGGAGAAAACGAGGCCCAGTGGCATCACAGGAGCCCCTGGTTTCAGATGCACTCCTTGTTCTTGAAGTTATGTGCACAAAAATAAGCAAATATCTCCTTGGTCACTTAGGCCTTTTAAACTGGGTGTTTTTTCATTTGCAAACAAAACAGTACTGACTAGAAGACAATCATTACACAGCACACTCTGTTCTTCATACTTGCCATACAATGATGATAATACTATCGGAAAATTGTTTATCAAGGAATTGCCACCTAACATACCTTCTCTGTTTGAATCAGCAACATCTTGTAACTGGGAGAAAACATCAACTGTTCCACAGCCTCATCAACCTCAAGAAAATTCCCCACATTGTAACTTGAATCTTTAACAATGAAAGAGTACACAATGCCATCCTGTATTATCAGTGAGATAAATATAGAAAATCAGTCTTGGTTAATGTGTAGTACACTTTCTTCATCAGACAAGTGAAGACTCATGGATTACTGTCTACTATTTATTTAGGATCATCAACTGTGCTTACATTACCTAGAACATATGTTCCTTTCATCTTTAGTTAGGCAACTTTTATCCATGCTCCTTGGTCAAGCTTCAGTTTTATCTCTTTTATAACACAAAATTAAAATATCTGTTTTATTACACATTTTTAAATGACCTAACTTTACTGGTCACTCCTTCCTTTGAAAGTCTGTCTTCTCACCATATTCTTCACTTTATAGGAGGGAGGATACATGAGGCAGTGCTTACATGGCTTGTATATAATAGTCTCCTTCCTTCAAAAGACACTATCCCTAAGTATGTTCATTAATCATTAATACTTGAATTTCTTATCTCTCTACATAGCCCAAGAATACGGTGTATACTTTATTTTCTTTGATTGGAAACAGTTTTAAGTTAACTTCTTTCGAGGAATTTGAGTCATTTTTTACAATATTTAAGAGGCTTTGGGAAAATATATCTATCATTTTTCTAGATCAGACCCCATTACAACTAAGAGTAGGCATTTGTGAGATGCTGGATTCAGATGCTGGGACCTGGGTAGTGGGTGAAGACATACAAGGTATTTTCTCCAAACCCATCATTACTGTCACCAGAGCAAATGCTACAATCATTTACATCAAAACAAACATTGAGAGTGGTTTTGAAGAGGACAAGAGTCACCAAGGCTACAAAGTCAGACCAAATGTAGAAAAGAGGAGGGGGTAGTCCACTGCAAAGCCGGGGGAGAGAAATATGATCTGAGTGTAGGCATGAGGGTTCAAGATGGCTTCTGGTTGGTGGAACTACATCTTTCACTCTGATGTCATTGCAGGGGGCTGAAAATGTGATCTGAGGCAATGAAACAGATGAAGGGAACAATACACTATGGACAGCTACAACTAGACCTGAGATTTTAGTGCAAATCAGCTATAAATCTTAGGATTAATTACACTGATTACCTCAGGATGAAACACCTGGTCTGACCCTATTTCATACTCACTGGGGCTGTGTAATCTAATAAATGAGAGCATAAACTTTGGAGAGCCACACCACTGGTTTCAAGCCCAGCTCCTCCACTTGCTGGTGGCCTCTGTCATACCTGGTTCTTTCATCTGTATGAAGAGGATGCCAACTTTCCACCAGGTAAGGTTGTTGTGTGGACCAATAAGATAATACAAGTAAAGGACTTAGCATGGTGCATGATACAAAATAATCACCAAGTAAATGGGGACTATTAATATTAATTCCAGTATCAACAGTAACAATGTGATACAAGTAAGCAAATGGTTATGCACAAGAGCCCAAGGTGAAGCTGAGACAGAAGTTCCAAATTCACATCGAGCACTTAATATGTTATTGCAGAAATGGGCTTGGTTACAGATATTAGGTATTTGTGTGTGTGTGATGAAGGGAAGACAATGAATTTTTAACTCTATTTTTGTGCATTTGTCCACTCTACTTCATAATTCTGTCCTCTCTGCTTCTTCATAGCAGCTATTTTATAATAGCTTCCAATGGGGAAACGATTTTGATTAATAATCTGACAGAACTTAACATCCCAAAATATGATTCCTAATGGTAAGTGTTAGCAAATGGAAATGTGTTTTTTTATGAAAGCAATTCATCTTAAGATATAAAATACATTACAATTCCAGAAGCAAGTATGCCCTCCTTCTGATACACCAAGGTGACCGGCCTGATGAGATGAGCTCCATCTTTTGGAAAAGAAAAACAGATGACATATAATTGAAAGAACAATATAACAGTGAACAATAAAAGCTGCTTGGTAATGATTACTAATGGAAATCAGACAAGTTGTTTGTATCATCAGCTCCATGTAACTAGTATTACAGAAACATACAGTAAATCTATTTTATGTTTTTAGGAAAATATTTTCAGAGGTTTGAAGAAACCTGGGGACAAAAGCCCAACAAAACAAAACTATATTATTGTTGAGGTATATCCTAAAGATTTATGCATTTTATGGCATGTAAATTTATGCATCAAGAAATATAACACAGTAGAAAAATAGAAAGAAAAATTAAAAATACTCCATAGAACATTTGCCATTAATAAAATATCATCCTGGGAAAAATAACAAAAGCATATGACCTTTTTATGTTGACAAAACATGAAAACTACAGGAGCAAAGACTCAGATGGCATCCATCAAATTATTTATCTACTGCAGCATACACATTTGACATTTTTCTGGGTGCTAGGTGGCACTGTTTTTTCCTTAAAGGACCACTCACTTTCCAGCAGTCCCTCCTTCCCCAATCCAACTGCCACTGGAGTCCAGGTTCTTATGGCTCCAGGCCTGGCCTAGGTGCCTGGTGTTTATAGCTACCTACTTCTAGGATCTTTCTTTCCTGACTGGTGACTAAGTTAATCTGCCTAAGTACAGTTCTGGTAGGGGTACATCCCCATTTAGGAGTTTTTGATCTCTGCCCACTGTCAGCTGAATAAAGTACAAATGCCTTGGCTAGACCTGAAGGGTCAGATTGCTCAATGCTTCAGATAAACTGGACCACTTATTGCTTCCCAGCCTTCCCATGCTTTCTTGTTCAGGTACCATGTCAAAATTCCACCCACCCACGTCTCTGCCTGTGAACTCCTCCTTCAAAAGCCAGTTCAAGTGCAATATTCAAGATGTGGTTTCTGTCATCTGAACCCTGATAGCTCTTTGTAAATCTCTCTCTTAGTGAAGTCAACTCAATTTTAATCCTCATTGCTGTAATTATTTTTTTTCATGTCCAAGGGCAGGGTTTAATGGCAGGTAGGAGGTAGCGCAGGAAGAGGAAAAAGGCTCCTTGCTGTAATTATTTGTCTACTTGTCTTTTGTTTTAATAAAACATGAGTCCTTTGAAGTTGGAAATTATGAGACAATGTATTTGCCATCAATGTAATTTCTAAGACACCTTGCTTGGTGTCTTACACAGTGTAGAGGTTTGATAAATATGTATTTGAAAGCATTTATAATGTACATGAAATAATGAGAAATTGTACATAGGAAGGAAACAGTGAATTATATAAGACAACATGTGATTAATTCCTAAATTGTGCAAAGTATAGTAGAAGTGTGGTAAGAGTTTGGAAGTCAGGAACACAGTTTATAATTTATTCTACAAACACATGTAGTGATATCTGAGATTAGACTTTGGAGCCAAAGAATCAGACAAAGAGCAGTCTCTGAATGACCTCAGAGAGCTGATGACAAATGGGAAGACAGACATGAACATGGTCCATTGTCATAGCCCAGGCTGAGGCTCCCTCAAAGTAGTGGAGCTATGTGGAATTCCATACAGGGGCACCTAATTGTGCCTGAAGGTTGGGGCAATGGTAAGGAGGGCTCCACATAGGAAGAAAACTTCACCAAGTACATAAGAGAGAGAGGGACATCTCAGACACAGGTAACTGATAGAATTTGGAGAGAGCCCAGGAATGATGGGAAACTTTGAGAGGTTCAGGTGGAACTGAAGCTGGAAAGACTGGAAAGGGTTTAGGGAGCTTGCCCAGGTGAGGCTCCCTTATGAAAGAATCGACACCTAGCTCCTAGTAGATGGGTACTAGCACTTGTGGCTCCACCTTGCCACAGCTGATGGGACCGGGAATGGTCAGTAGTGAATCTAAGGGAGAATAGATCAGGTTCTTCTTGGAATTCTAACCAGCACAAAGGTAACTTTCAAGATGGCAGGTGAAATGAAAAAAGAGACCCATCGTGGAGAAGAGGGTTAACAGGAGTAGGACTAAGGGGAACAGGTGTATGTCTAGGAAAGGATACAGGTTGGTAGCTAAGAATTTGAATTCTTGCTTCCTGGATTCAGGTGTCAGCTCCACAGTTTATGTGAATCTGAGCCTATTTCTTAACCTCATCTGTATCATGGAGATAAAGCAGTTTTTTCTTGTGTTGTTTGGAGGATTACATGAACTATGCATACAAAGGGGTAGCAGTTTGCCAAGAGCATTTTAATACTCAATAAATGGTAGCTGACAGTAGGGAGCATCCACAGGACTTGGGAAATAAGCAGAAGTTAAAAGAGAAGGAGGCTCAAAGATGTCTTCAAGAAAAGAAAATAGGGAATAAAACATCCATCTTCAAGTGTATGTAAAACCAACACCCTTGGCCACTCTCCTGCGAAGTGTAGCAGAAACATTTCTCACCCAACAGTGATGAGTCTTCTGCCTTCTGAAGCACAGTCACCTTCAAGGTTTCTGCATTAATCAGTAAAAGATGGCCCTCCTCGCAGCCAACATACAGGTCACTTGTTGGAGTCCAGCAATGCATGGTAGGGTGAAGCAAAGGATATAGATCATCTTTTGGCTTCAGGGAAAGAATAACAACATTGTTTTAAGACAGCAAAAATGACTAAAAGCCAGAGAAACAATTACCAGAACAACTGCCTAAAAGAATCCAGTGCACATGGTCATCAAAGAAACCAGTGCATATGGTTGATCATCAATTCAGTGGTACCGCAATTTGCCAACAGCTAAGGAAACGTGTCCTTACTTGCTCCATTTTTCTCTCTCCATTTTAATTCATTAAGAAGAAAAGAAGGTGTTCGTGCCAACACACTCAGAAATACTCATGACAGTTATGAGTAACAACTTCTAAACTGCCTTCCCTCCCTCCATCCCTCCCTCTATGCCTCCTTCCTTCCTTCCACCCTTTCTTTCTTCCTGTTTCCCTCTTCCTCCCTCCTCCCCTCTTTTCTCTTTCTTATAATCCTTTTAAAAAATGTAAAAACTGTTCCTGAGCTTAGGCTACAAAAAGTAAGTCATAGTTTGTTGCTGTTATAGAAAAGTACTCCCCATAGCACTGATTAAAATTTGGAATTTGAGGGAGGTAGGAAGATTGCAATTCGAGGCCAGCCTAGGCAAAAAAAGTTAGCAAGATCCCATCTCAACAGAATAAGCAGGTATAATGTATGTCTGTAGTCCTGGCTATGCTGGTGGCATAGGTAGAAGGATCACAGTCTGAGGCCAGCTGGGGCAACAAATGAGACCCTATTCAAAAAATAACTAAAGCCAAAAAAAGGGCAAAGGGGGAGACTGAACTGTTAGAAGCCTGCCTAGCAAACATGAAGCTCTGAGCTCAAAACCCAGTATCCCCCACTCCCCCCGAAAAAAGATTCTTATTTTAGGATTCCATAATATAACATTTTTTTTCCTTCCTTCCTGATCCTTCTCTCTCTCTCTCTCTCTCTCTCTCTCTCTCTCTCTCTCTCTCTCTCTCTCTCTCTCTCTCCCTCTCCCTCTCTCTCTCTCTCTTTTGCAGTGCTAGGGATGGCACCAGGGACCTCATACATGCTAGGTAAATGCTCTACTACTGTCTACTACTGAGCTACATCCCAGTCCCATCCTTTGTATTAGAACTAGTCAAATAGAGTAGTTTGTGTGTGTGAGATGTTCAGCACTACCTGAGCTCTTTGCTATGCCGTACTGGTTAGAATTGCGTTTACCACAACCTAATGCCTTTGTTTTCTTTAGACATCCTTACACTCATCCGTACAGCAAAAATTTTTTTGAGCTATGAATCAAATTAATAGAATTCTTAAGTTCCTTAAGAGCTCCATGTTCATTTCCTTCTTTCACTTGGGTGTTCATTCATCTAACAAAAATTGATTGGGCATTTACTACATTGTCTGTTCTAGGTTCAGGGATACAGTGGTAAACATACAAGACAAAAAAATAAATTCCATGCCCTCAGGGAGCTTGGGTCCTGATGAAGTGTGATATGCTGAGGAGAGTGATGAATAAAGCAGGGTTGGCAGAAAAGGCTGTAAGGTTGGGGAACGCTGTGAACATATGCAAACAACCAGTTTGTTATTCAAATCTCTGTGACCTCTGCAAGCTACCTTTCTAATAAATACTCAGTTGTTTAATGTTTTAGGTTGCTCTTTTAATTTATGAAAGATTTGTAGATTCGAGGTAGTGACAAGTGTGGTACTGCCAAAGTAACTTTCTGCCAGATTCCCATCAAAGTTTTTGAATGATTGACATCTGAAGAACTATGTATTGGGTATTGGTTATATACCAGGCATTGTGGCAAGCCCTGAGGGTTCTTTCTTCTCAATAGGACACTCACCTATTTAGGGAAGAAGTTCCAAGTATCAGAATCAGAAAGCATGGTAGGTTACAGCAGAGAAGATCTTAAATATCATAGGAACATTGATGATAAAGCAATAGGTTCCTCTTGGTGGAGTAGAATTGTCATTCAAGATGAACTCAGCAATATGACTAAAGCAGCAAGCATACATAAGATTCATCATGATAACTTTTTAAAGGATAGATGACTTTAATTGTACTATTGGCTTATCCCATGCCTCACAGCCTTGGACAGTTAGAAAATAAATACTTGAGTAACCATTTGGTCATCAAGTGAGCTTTAAAAATGAGACAAAACTTGTGAAGATGACTAAATAGCTTTCAATTAATGATATTTCTGTGGTGTCTGATTGAAATCTGACTCAAAGGAAAAAGAGATATTCACTGAATCAACATTATTTAAAAACTTCTTGAGGCTGGGGGAAGGGCGGGGCGGGGGCAGGTGACTCAAGTTGTAGAGTACCTGCCTAGCAAGCATGGGGCTCTGCGTTCAAACTCCAACACTCCTGGGGGGCAGTGGAGTTGGGGGAGAAAAAAGCTTGAGTTCTCTTGGTGACATCTAAATTAATACTATAAATCACACATACACACACACACAATCTTTGTTTGGTTTTTTTTTTTGAGATAGGTCTTGCTATATAGCCCAGTAGGTAAACTACTGGGAAAATTAATTTCTAACTAAATGCAAAGTATATTCTTTCATTAATATTCCTGTATGATTTAGAGCTGTCAAACTATAAGTTAAATATCTGCTTTTAGAAAGAGGTTAAAATGCACTGAGTGCGAAAGTCCTATGAAATAGAGACATTTATTTACTATGCATATTTTTAAACTGATGACTCCACGTTTAAGTATCTAAAGGAGGTATTTCATAGCATTTTCCGAATAGCAAGGACAATTTCCCGAATTTTGCATTTTTTGTGTAGGATCATCACGTTGGTGCAAGGCTGTGAAAGGAAGACCAGTGCTCCAACAGAAAGTTACTGCGGAAAAACAATTTGAGACAGTTGAAATTTGGGAGTTCTAGACCTACTAAACAGAAGAAAACTGAAAACCTTGGTACCTATTTGTTTTTATTTTGCTGCCTCCCTGTGGCTGTTTGTGGTCCTGTTTCCATGGCTAAGACCTGGGCTAGAAAAGCAATTCTCTATAACTTAAAAGTGATTCAGGGCTGGTGGAATAACTCAAGTAGTAGAGCACCTGTCTAGCAGGCATGAGGCCCTGAGTTCAAACCCAACCCCAGTGTGGCCAACAAAAAAGGAGGGTGGGATTTTGTTCCTCATTAGAGGAAATACTAAGGGGTAGAAACTTTTTCTTACCACACAGATTTTTTAATAAACTAATTCTCACATTGAATTATTTCTAACACTCATAGCTTCATTCTCTGCAGTGCTCTAAAATATTTGGAAATGTCCACTTTCTTCACCCTCTGTTTAACAAGAGTTTAACACAAACATCAGCAGTTATAATCCAGGACTCAAAGGTCAAAAGAGTGAAGCTGGTTACCCTCATTCCAAGGGCCTTGCACTGCCACTCTGTGTCCTGTCTTCCTCTTGAACATCACTCTGCACCTCCTTTATCACCTGAATCTCATTTAATACACTCCAGCCACGCAAGTCTTTCTTCAGTTCCTCAAACTTGTCTTCCCTGGGACTTTGCACAAGCAGTCCCTCTACCTGAAACACTCTTATTGCAACACTAGCAATGCCTGCTTGTGTTTCAAATCTCAGCTTCAGTGTCACCTCCCAGAGGCTTTCCTTGACACCCCATCCCCTGTATTCTGTCATATTATCACAGCTTGCAATGCTCTGATGTCTCTAGTTGTGTTGTTGTGCTTTCTCCCTGACAAAGGTGGGAACTCAGTGAGGATCATGCCTGGTTGATTACCACATGATCCTATTGCCTAAAACAATGTCTCCAACATGGAAGAAGCTTGAGAAATATATGCAGAAGGAAGGAAGGAAGGAAGACAGGAAGAAAGGAAGGAAGGAAGGAAAGGGTGTGGCACTGTGCACAAGTTCTCCTATTTGAAACCATCCTCCACTCTTCTCTGTCTGACTCTCTCCTGCATTTGCTCCTACTTCAGGGACAGTGTCTTTTCAGGCTCCTCTTTCTCCCCTTGACTTTTGGCAGCAGTCTTTCGTTATGCCTTTTTATCTTCACTCTTATTTTCTCTGCTTGTTCTCCTTCCATCCACCCCTCCTTAGTGTTATCTGTGTCAATGACATGCACATCTTGACTCATCTGTGTCATCTGACACAGGTCTACTTGCCAACTTCCACGCCACATCTCCACTTCCATGCTTTCTGTCCCCAAAATTCAGCGCATCCAAGGGTGAAATCACACCTGGTCTCCCCATTTCTGCCTTCATCTTCCCAACCTTCCACCTCAAACTCCAGTCTTGTACTCTTGCAGTAATCATGGCTAATCTATACTAAAAACTACGGTGAAGCCCTCTACCCTGCATGGCTCACAGACAATCAAATGAGATCAGACTTCCTAGACCTCCATCTGTTAGGTAAACAAAGTAATTAATTAATTACCCTGAAAGTTTCTGCCTCTTCACCTACTAGCCCAGCAATGGCAGACAGGGGCATCACTGGTCCATAGATGGGGTCCTTGGGCAATGAGGTGGGGAAAAGTACATCTGTTTCATTAAAAAATGATCCATCTTCTACAGGTAGCTTTACTGATCTACAGAGAAAAAGAGACATCAGAACAACTGGATTGACAAAAACTTATTACTGACATAATCACTGCATATCAGTAGTAATCAAGGGAGAGGAAGGAGGAGGAGTTTTAATATAAACACAAATAAAAACATAAAAGCCAAATGGTAGATCTTAAAAGATAAGTCATAAAAGGACATATTATGCATAGTTATAAATTAGGTAGGTAAGACATTATCAAAAGGTTCCAAATGTATAATGGAGGGATTGTAAATTTGAACGCTGGTGGAGGTCAGGCAGATAATGTGTAGCTACTGGCGAGAGAGACTATAAACAAAAGGAAAGTGTTTTGTCCCTTGTAAAGTTGGCAGGTACCATTCAGTTCTAGCCAAAAGGGTTGTTGACATGTGAGGATTTTGGTTTCAAAATCTTAGAGAATACCATAATTTGGATATTCATGAAAAATGTCTCACATTTGAAATGCTGACAACTAATTCAAATATAGAAAATACTGTGAATTAAAATAAGCATATAGGCCGGCTGTGTTCAGCTACCTTTGCAATCTTTAATATCAATACTTTATTTTCAAATTCACCATACGCCTACTTTTAATACATAATATGGTTATAAAGGTAAAGAATTTAATTCATGGCCTCATTCATTAAATTTAAAACTCCCTTGGTTATGAATGATAAATAATTTTAGAAAATGATCATAATACCTAGTACTTAAATGTAAAGCTTAAGTGCTCTTTGACTCTTAATTGCTTTATGAATCAGGAAAATCCACTCAGTGTGTCTCTCACTTCATTTTCTAATAGAAAAATCACACAAATCAACACTCAAAACCAAATTAGTATATCTGAGGGAAGCAAAGGAACAAAGGGGTGTGATAAGTTACTAAGCTGAACTCTTAAGAGTTCTCCAGTCTGAAAGCTTATTTTTCACTGGCTTTGCATTACCCTGAAGGCGATTATTCAAAAATTGCAGTTTCAAGGGTATGCCTGTACAACATATTTTAGCCTTTGTCTTCGAGGAGGAGACTGAAAATGGTGAGCACGATGGCACTTTGAGTCTTGGAACTACATCGAAGGCTTCCATTACCATCAACTATGGCCATTATGAACAGCTCACTGTTCATTTTCTCTTTGACCCATTTCTTTTTAAACAGGTGGCTCCCATGAGTCCAGTGAAAGCAACTACTCTTTTTTGTGGATGATGTGACTGAAAGTACACTGTAATCTGTATACTTCCTATATCTAACAGTTTCTTACTTTTGCGATTTGCCAGGGCATTAAAGAAATAGGTACAAAACATCAAATATATCCTTTTTATTCAATAGTTATGTGTTAAAAGAGTAAGAACAAACCTAGTTTTGCAAAATTAAACTGTGTTGAAAAAAGCTTTCCTGGGACTTGATATTTAAAGGAAATTTGTTGGGAGATAAAGTCAAATAAAATCTTTTTGAAATGCAACCACACTAAGGTAATTATACATATAGAAAGATGTTATAACTTATGGTAAGTTGTATGTATTTATGTGTGTACATGTAGGTGTAAATTAAATTAAGGGCATTTAATTTATCAAATTGACTCAGCCACATTACATGAATGCAAATGAAGATTATCACATTGCTTTATAGTAAAAAAATCCTCCTACTTTGATTTGAAATAATGTTCCTGGTTACTTCTTTCAATGGTCCACATGGTCACAGAACTTGAACTTGATAAGCACAGCTGGTGCCAGTTCATGGGGTTAAAAGACATCTGGCTCACATCCACACCAGGCTGTAATTTCTTGCACAAGATGACATTTGCTTCCCAGTTCCTTAGAAGAAAATAGCATTTTGGGGAAAAATTAATGAATGTAACTTTCATGTCTAAAGAATAAATATTTGAAGACAATTTACATAAATTGGGTCATACTTTAAGGTACAATTTATTTTACTTATGATATAAACATCAAATTTATAATTATGCTTAGCTGGATGCCTCTAAGAAGCAAATTACTATGTATTATTTAAATGTCATATACGACACCAGGGCTATTTTATCTTCCTTATTCCATTTGAATTTAACTCAACCAAACCTAAAATATGGACTATATCATCACATTTGCTGAAAATCAAGCATAGTGTCTAAATCTCTAAGCGCTATGTCTGAATAACTCCATACAGTTCTGGGTGCCCTGTTCTCACAGGTGCCAATTGGTCATTTACTGAGATTTAAAAACCCAAATGATAGCATTTTAACATTGATTCATCCATTCATTCACCCATTTGGGAGAACACCTTCAAACTGTCCCATAAACCAGGTTCTTGGCTAGATGAATGGAAAGGGAAAAATCTATGTGCGCTTCATGTACACCCTCATACAAGAGCAGCAGAGCTGGGATTAGCAAACAGGACTGGAGCTTTACTATTCTTGTCTCCTGCCTTCCTCCTGCTCTTGCTGCCTTCCATCTCCATCACAAGTGCTTTGACCCTCACAGCAGCTATTTGTTTTGCTGGTATGTTTGGTTTCTTTTGATCGTTTGACTTTCTGCCTTCGATACCTGGCAAGCCTGTCAAGCCTGGATGGATACAACTGAAAGCCTGGGCTGCTGGGACATAGGAAGAAGTGTACATGTCAGTGATACTGCAGATTCCTTGTTACTTCCTTTATGGACATTTATATCTATATAATCTCCAATCTTCATGTTTCTCTGGCTGGGTCTCTCTCCCATGATCTAAAGAAGGAATTTTTAGGACTGGGGGCATGGCTCAAGTGGCAGATTGCTTGCCTTGTAATCTGAACTCGAGACCCTGTGTTCAAACTTCAGTACTGCTAAAACAAAAACCAAAAACGGACCATTTCAAATATTCTCCACTCTCCGGAAGCACCTAACTAGCCTTTAATCTCGTTTTCATTCTCAGCAAATGGTCTCAATTCCCATAAAGAAAATAGAGATTATCAGTTGAGAATCTCCTCCCAATTCCTGCTATCACATTTAACCATCTGTTAGAGCTGCATCATCCTCTCCTCTCCTGTTATAATGGAGCACTGGTCTTTCCTTCTATTGAAGACCTTTCACCACTGATCTTACAGGTCTTGTCTTATGAACATTAGACTGGGGAAGTAGTTCAAGTGGTAGAGCGCCTGCCTCGCAAGCATGAGGCCCTGAGTTCAAACCCTACCACTACCACAAAAAGAACATTAGTTTATCCATAACTCCTTCTCTTCTGCATCTTCAAACTCTTCCTGTCTCCCAACTCCCTGTCAACACTTAGATGCTCAGGTACACCATCTTTCAACAAAAGCCTTTACTCAATCTCACCCATCCATGTTTCTCTTCCCTAGGCCTCCAGCCACATGAGCATTTTCTCTGCTCCCTCGCTCCACTCTCTCCTCATCCCAGGTTATTATATCCTACCATCACCATTCCCTTGACATAGCTCTGTCCAAGAGCCACAGATGTCTGCCTATATCCCAAATGCAACAGGCATGTCTTAGTCCTTGTCTAACTTTGTCTCTACCAAAGTTGACACTGCTTACCACAACTAACTTCTGGAATGACTATTGGACTTTCTGTCATATACACTGCATGGTACACCTCATATCCTCTCAATCTCTATAGAGTCTGGTGCTTTAACCATCTCTCCTAATCAACTCAGTGGCTGTCCAATTCTGTGGACAATTCTGCTTTGGTCTCATCTCACACCTACTTCACATGCCCTGTGGCCACTGGACATGAGGTGCAAGAGGTGGAAATAAACCTGAAAGTGTGAAGAGTTAACATTCTCTGCAGTGACAATTTGATCAGTGGAATACAGTAGTCTGTGGGCAAATTCTTGTCCCCTCTTTTCCCCTTCCTTATTGTCCATATTCGTAGTAGTTCATTGATCCTCTCTGAGGGCCTCCTTTGAGACAGACAGTTGTACTTGGTACCAAGTGGTGACCAGCAAAGTAATGTGTCATCATATTGGCTCTCCTTCTTTCCTGCGATTGCACTATGAGAACTGGTTCATGAGATTTTTGCTTCAGGCTCTGCTTGCTGTGGAATCCAGGATGAGTCTCCCATGAAGGTTCTTCTTCATTCCATCCCCTCCATGGGTGTTCTGGTAGTTTCTCTTTAGATGTTCTTATCTCTTAGTAATAAGATGATCAATTTGCTTTAATTACCCCCAAATGTTTTAATTTTTATTTATTTTTGGTGGTACTGGGGCTTGAACCCAGGGTTTCATGATTGCAAGGTAAGTACTCTATCACTTAAGCTACATCCCTATCCCTTTTTTCTTTAGTTATTTTTGACTAGGGTCTGGCATTTATGACTGGGTTGTCCTGGACTGTGATCCTCCTATCCATTCTTCTTGCCTTGCTGGGATAATAGGTTTGTGTCACCATGTCAGCTTTTTATTGGTTGAGATGAGGTCTTGCTAACTTTTTGCTCAGGCTGGCTTCCAACCATGATCCTCCCAATCACTGCCTTCCCTGTAGCTAGGATTTCAGATGTGAGTCACTGTGCACAGTCTTTCCAAATGTTTCTATGCCTTTAGGATAAATCATGTGCCCTTTAACATGGCTTATATGGAGTGTGAGTCCTCTTCCCAGTATGCCCAGGAGAACCCCAGTTTAAGTGTGCTGCTTTGCATCAATTATTAATAATAGCCCTTTTTACTCTTAAAAGCATCCTGATTTGGATGGTCATGGTCACCTACTTAAGGCTACTTGTGAGCTGGCCTTAGACTGTCCCTCCAGGCTCACCTCCTCATGGCTAATCTTGTTTTGCTTATTTTGGCCTCTAAATTAAAACCTGACATGTGTTCTCTGACTTCATGGCCTTTGCACATGCCACTTTCCTGCTTGGAGTCTGCTTCCTTCAACTCTTCTCAAGGCTTACTCCTACTTACTTTAGGTATGGCTATGGGTTGAATTGTGCTCCCCTTCTCCCCCACCCCACCCCACATTCCTATGTACATGTCCTTACCCTCAATACTTCATATAAGAATGTGACCTTATATGGAAATAGGGTCTTTACAGAAGAGAGCAAGTTCAAATGAGGTCATTAGGGTGGACTCTATTCCAATATGACTAATGTTGTAATAAAAAGGAGGCATTAGAAGACAGATACAGACACACAGGTAGAATGCCATGTGAAGATGAAGACAGAGATTTTGGTGGTGCTCCTATAGGCCAAGAAACTAGCAGAAGCTAGAAAAAGACCTTGAACAGATTCTTTCTCACAGCTCTCAGAAGGAACCAACCCTGCCAGTACCTTGATCTTTGATTTCTTGTCTCCAAACCTGGAGACATTGAATAATCTGTTGGTTAAGCCACCTATTTTCTGGTACTTTGCTATGAAAAGCCTAGCAAATTGATATGGGTATCTACTTAAACATTATCTTCCCTCCCCAGTAAGTGTTCCCTAACCACCCCACTGTGGCAGGAAGGCAGGGAGGGGGAAGAGATTAATGAGTGCTACAGTAAAAGAAAGGAAAACCAGAGTTGGGGAATGCTACCTGGAGACCAGAGAAGGGTCATCTTGCCCTAGACATTAAAACAGCCAATAAAATAACATGTGATTATGTATGGGACAAGCTGTACCCCTCCATTTCTGTAATCTGCTGTAAATGGTATATAAGGAAAGCATCCTTTGTTCTTGGGGCTCAGCCTTTGGACACAAGTCTGTTGAGTTGCTGCTGGCTTGCTTAGTAAACTTGCTTCCTGAAAGCTTTCATGTCCTCTCAGTCTGTCTGAGCCTGTTACAACATTTCTGGGGGATCATCTGGGATTTGGAGGGTGGTGTTTACATCTCCTTGTCAGTAGCTCAGCTTCCCTGGCCTGCCAGGAAGGCCACTCCTACCAGGTGCCACTGGACTCTGTGATCCAGGGAGGGAGCCTCTCTCCCAGCAAGCCAAGGAGGCAACTTCAGCTGTACAAAGGAATCTGAAAAGGCTAGGGAACCAACCTGGGAATCCTGGGAATCATCAGACTGATAAGAACCCCTGGGAATCATCAGGCCTGCCTCAGGAGGCAGAAGGGGAATCTGATCAGCTCTCAAAAGACACCCTAGTAACTACCTTTTTTGGAGAGCAACCATGTATTTCAGGTTCAGGGAGCTGGGTGTGAGAGTGTGAAAGTGTGAGCCTGAGACGTAGCCTGGTTATGAAGTGAGTGTGGAGTCCCGACCCCCGGGTCTGTGACAAAATCATATGGTCTAAGGTGAGCCCAAACTGGGCCTCTGGTTTGGGGATTATATGGACTTACTATGGCCAAGAGATGCCTAAATCCGTGCAAGGGGAGTGGTCAGAGATGGACAAAGAGAGTGGTATTATTTGTTTTTCTTTGTGTGCCAGAGAGGAGGACTCCTTACCTTCTCTCCACAACCCTCATCCCTCCCATCTTTGTCTCTGTCTAGACGTCTGGCAAATGGGAGGAATGGGAGAAGGTCAAAGTAAGAACCCCCCCACCCAGATCTTTAAGAGGGGACTTAATGGAGATTACAATGTCAAACTGACTCCTGGAAAGCTTAGGACCTTCTGTGAAATAGACTGGCCTGCTTTTGGTGTAGGATGGGTCTCCAAGGGGTCATTACATAAGGTCATAGTCAATAAAGTTTTTATAGCAGTTACAGGGGAATTGACTGCTGGCAGGATGCAGTCCTCAGTTAGCCCACATGACTAAAGCCCCACCTAGAGAAAGCATGTAAGGATATGGTAGCCAGGGTTGCAGCAGTTTCCAAGTACAGGGAAAAATGTGAAAGGCCAAAAAACTCCATATTAATGGGAGATCCTGAGGAGTCCCCACTCCCACTATGTGCTACTATACAGATTATAGAATTTCTAGGAG